AATTTTAAACACCGCAATAACCAAACAAACATTTGTTAAGCGCAAACCTGTAACAAAAGAAACCCAGGGGCTACCATTGCTGACTTCCTCCTGAAGCTGTAGCTGTTACCTTTCCGTCTCTCTTCCCAATACTTTCCGAGGTGCTAAAAAAAGAATGTGGATCTGGAAAATCAAAGCTGTTTGGTCCCTTTCGCGCGGGCATTCATATCAGGTCCACCTCTCAGGCAGACCTAAACAGAAGCCCAATGTTAGTCTATGGGCAGCCAGATCTAAACGGACAGACATCCACTTACATCTGGTTATCCCTCACTCTGTCCAGGTCTGGAAGAATAAACGGATTAGGCCTCTTAATCTGTAGGATTGTTCCAGGCCATTGACTCAAAACATTCTAAACCCACTGAGACAGAATGACAGCCAGAGAACAGGTATTTTCCAGAGGAGGTCAGCAGTAGCAGCCTACATGGCGTCCTCACAGTAAAGGTTTGAGGCCGAGCTGGTGTCACGGTGTAGAATTCTAAAGACAATAGGATAGATTTATTAAAGAAAGAGAAACTCTTCATCAAACTCACTTCAAATATCCAATAATGTGCCAAGAAAAAAAAGTGTGTTTCAGGCCTTATGCACATGAACATCAAAATAGATGCATCCTGATGAGTTTGGAGCAAACTTCTAAACACATCTGGAAGGCCGTAATGTTTTTCTATGGGGGAATGCACGCTAGATGTTCAACAACGTCTAGGTCAGGGGTAGGAAAACTCTGGGGCCGGAATTGAACACCCCTGGCCTACAGGGATGTATTGCAGAACATTTCTATCTGTGTAATCACAAGTTATAAACAGAGTGAGAGAAAAAATGTTCTTGTCTTTTAAATGCCTCTTTGTAGCAGCCTTTGCAAGCTTCTCTCTCAATTTCTTACCACATGTAAACTCGAGGCGGCACAACTATCCTCCTTCTGAAGACTACTCCATGTTACAGGTTTGTAGGCAGACCTCTCAAGAATTCCGAACACTAGGGTTGCACAGATACCAAGTACAGTACTCGGTACAAGTACGAGTACATGTACCGATACTTTTGCGCTCCAAGACTACACTAGAGAAAAATTCAAAAATTAGGAGGCAGCTGTCATGTGTAAGGAGCACACGGAGCTCCTGGGATTTGTACATCTCTGTTTTAATGTACGATTTTGTTTTTATAACTATAAATAAAGGGATGCACAGATACCAGTTTTGCGAGTACGAGTACTGGTACTTGCCGAGTACTTACAAGTACGAGTACTGATACATTTTTGTTTATTGTCATGTGACAGTTTTTCTAAAACAATACAGACTAATGATTTCAGGACAATGGTGGAGCGCCAGAGCCAGGTCCCAGCTGCCACCGCTGCAACCCTGATAGTTCTCATGAAAATGCCAAGTATCTGCACTGGTACTCAAAAAGTATCTGTGCATCCCTACCGAACACCTTTGTAGTTTACCAGTACCCCTGCGACATACTCTATCTTACCTTTATAAACATCTCTCCTCAAATAATACTGTTGCCCACCTGGGTTTGTTGAGTCATGGCACAGAGATTTTAGCAAACAGTTTAGGGTGGAAAATTGGGAATTGGCTTTCTTTCATACACATAATTCATCTGTTTTGTGTTATACACAAGAGACAAAAATGATAAAACGATTTCTTGCTGGTACAGGGATCCTGTATCTATACACCTTATTTTTCCTCATGTCCCCGACACTTGTTGGCGATGTGGTGGAGATAGGAGAAGGTACCTACACATATGGTGGAACTGCCACAGATTTTGGTCGGCCATTTTTTTACATTAGTTCAGAACTCTACGGTAAAATCCGTACACCTTCCCCAGAAATAGCTCTCATTTCTATCTATCCAGGGTCAAAAAAGAGGTTGAAGCATTCTATCCTTCATTTTTTTCTGCAGCACGTCAGGTCATTCTGGAAATGTCTGGAAAACATCTATATCTCCGTCTATCTCCCACTGGGTCAATGCCATGAACGAGATTATGAGGAGATTCTGGCTAGAACAACTGACAAATATGACAATTTTTATACTTTATGGGATGTTTGGATTGGTTTTTCTACCTCTGACTCTCTCAGACATGGACTTTAAACCTTATTCATCAATGATGAATGTCATTATAGAACGGTTGATTTCTAATGACTTCATAAGTTTCTTTACCCACCCGGGCATCTTCCTCTATCTTTTGTTTTTTTTTTCTTTCCTCCGATCTTTCTCCTTTGTTTTTCCTTGATGTCTCTATGTACTTTAATCTCACTATCTCATGGGATATACTATTGTGATTAGACTCATGCCTCTAATATTTTATTACTTTCTTGTTATCATCCTATACATGTGTACAAGACTTCATTAATATGATTTTTTTCAAACATATTTAATATTGCTTTTTATACTCAGACTTAAATTTTAAAATTACATACTAGTTTATATATGGCATTGTCTCTATAGTTAATATGATATTGTCACATGTCATGTTTTCTATCTCATTGTGTACTTTATATATCCCTGTTTTATTATTAATAATAACAACAGATTTAACTATCAATTTTCAAATAACAGGAAACAGTCTGTCCCCACAGAAGGACCAGGGACAGACTGAGCTTCCTCTCATTAACATACAAGACTTATACATATTTAACCCTTTGTTAAAACAGAGTGTTCAGATCTAGATTACAACTGATAAAAAGATCTGCCGCCACAGTACAGGTTGATTATCTTAACATTAACCTACCCGGCCCCCCTTACATTGCAGAGGGGGACTCAGTACAGATAACTTTTCTTTCAGAATACAGCATGTATTGTGAAAGCTGCAATTACTATTTTATTTTTAAGCTATGCTATGTGAATGAAAATCATGTAATGTGTATAAAATAGGTGGTATCCCGATTTGGCTGCAAAGTGGAAATACACTTTAAGTCTGTGCTAAAACACAGCATTTTTAAAACTCAATAGTGTGAACGCTGCCTTAAAAAAACATTTTAGGATTGAAAGATGGAAGCAGTCATTGCTGAATTAATTTTGATGGACAAGCTTTAGAGCCGTCATCCTAACTTGCTCCATTATTGGCGAGTCAATGAAACAGATGCATAGCAGGTGTCCCAACACTTCACTGCATACTTCCTCCACCCAGACTCACTAGGCTGTAAAACGCAGAGGATCAAAACCCTGGAGAAAGCACCTTAAAAGCAAACTAAGATCTAGAGCTGCAACTAATGATTATTTTCATAATTGATTCGTTGGCCGATAATTTTTTTGATTAAATAGGATAGAAAAAAAAATGAAATAAATATCATCCTTACTGTATAATACACAAATGCAGTGTTACAAACAAAGTTTACTTAAGAATAAAACCGCATGCACAATTTTTTGCAATCGCTATGCACTGGAACGCACAGCATCACGGTACCCTGCGTTCCAGTGAGGGCGATCACACTGTGGGTGGGGGGTACGTTTGGGGTGCCATTGAAATGAATGGCACTGCAACACACCTCCCGCAGCAGAATTTGTCAGGCCGAAAACCGAAAATGACTTTTTCCCACCTTTTAGTAAATCGTAATGTAAGCACATGGCCCTTGAATAGCTTCAGCCCGGGAATGACAGCTGCCAGTGGCAAGATTCTGCAGACGGGAGCTGAATGTAAATACAGCAGGTAGTAGGCGGGTGTAATGGCCAGCCTGCTATTGGCTATTTCAAATTGCAATAGCCAACAGCAGGCTGGCTATTGCACCCACCCAGTGCTTGCTGTGCCCTCCTCCCAACATGGAGGAGAGAGCTATGGGATCCAAACAACTAATCGATAATGAGAAAGTTGACAACTATTCTCAATATCGATTATTATAAATGAACTGATTAGCCGATTGCAGCCCTACCAAAAACGGCAGCTCTCATAGTTCTATATCTTTAGTGGAAGTATGCTACAAAGCAAACCATCTGTGTGATCAGATGTAAGCTGCAGTTCCCAAATGCCTGAGCTGCAGTCTAGTTCTGGGACAGTGATGTTGCCGTTAAGCTGAAAAGGTTCCGTTTTACTACCCAGCAGCCAGCATGCAGCACAGGACTAAATATGACCATACACTGTACAAATTTCGGAGGGTTCTTGATGAACCGATTGAAATTTGGTCAGTGGAAGAAGGAGCTGTCCGGAAAATTTTCGGGTGAACAGAGACAGCAGCCAATAAGGTATTCTGACAGTGGCACACCCGCCACCGTCTGAATACAGCAGCCCAGCAGGAGATTTGTCCATCTGTGCTGTTTATCGTGAATGGAGGAATCTGTTAAACTTTTTCGCTCAGCCTACAGGTGGAATGAAAATCATGAAACAGTGTATAGGAGGGGTGTGCAAACTACAGCCCTCCAGCTGTTGTGAAATTACAAATCCCATGAGGCATTGCAAGAGTCTCACCGCCACATACATGATGGGATTTGTAGTTTCACCACACCTGCGGGGCTGGAGTTTGCCCACTCCTGGTGTATGGCCAGCTTAAAAATGGCAGATTATATCTGAAGCTTCTGGCACAGGTACTCAGCTTCATGTCAGATTCCCCTTAAGCACCCATTCACATCTGAATTGGCCACTCAAACTTCAATAGGAGCACCCAAAAATGAGCGCCCCACAACCATATCCTCTTCCTAGTAACTAACTTTCCATTGGCTAAAACAACAACGCTCAGGCCTAAAAAAAAAAAAGGCCAAAAAAGCTAAGCTTCAGACATTTTTAGAAACCAGTGACACTCATGTGTAAAAGGCCGCTATAATTGTTTAAGTACAAATATGATCACATAAAACTGGGGTAACCTTGGCACCCCAGCTGTGGTGAAACTACAAATCCCATCCAGCTTCTGAATCTTGGAGGCATGCCTGCTGTTGTCCTGCAATGCCTCATGGGACTTGTAGTCCCACAACAGCTGGAGTGCCGAAGGTGACTACCCAACATAAAAGGAAACACAAGCTGAACAGCAAACAACTTACTCATCCCCATCTGGACACATTCCTGTGGTTTCATCATACTTTGTACAATATACATCTGGGCTATAGTTAAATGTCCCATCGCGTCTTCGAATGGGTCGGCGGCGGCGTTGGTTTAGGAAATGCCAGTGGAAACAGGTGAAGGGTCTGTGCTGAGTACATTTGTGTTGTAAAAACAGCGGGCACTGCTCAGTCCGAAACTCCTTCAGATACCTGTGACAAGAAAAACAAGCCGATTACTGCCATAGAATCTTTTGTTTCCAAATTCTCAATGCAAAGCAGTACAAGAATGCTGTAAATGACGCAGATTGCAAAAAGTCATACGCCGTCTTCACACATGTGCAATGAGTTATTGCACGTGCGGGCCGTTTTTAGTGTGTTGTGTTAAGGCAGCCCTCTAATTTGTCTACGGTCTCTAAATCGTACTAAAAGAAGTGCATGACCTTTTATTTAAAATCACATCGCACCCCAAAGAATGGCAATAAGTCACCATACATTGGGGGGAATTTATCAAAGCAATTGCGACAGTTTTTGCCTCTTAGATCATTGTGCTCCTGTTTTGACCTGAGCTTACACAACTGCACATGTTTTGTATCTGTTTTCATCAGAGCTTGCACTACTTTTTCAGTTGCATGTTTTTTGCACCAGTTTTCATCTGCACTTGTTCTGGGGCTATCTGAAACTGGAGCATCACCTAAGGAGAAAAACTCCTGGAATTCCTCCGCTATGCGTTCTTAACAACTTAAGAAGTCCCCATGATTACTTCTTCAAGAAGCCACAGTTCAGCTTTTTCCCTGGCGTTACGAGTCTTCTTTCCTGGAGTCTATTTAACCTCATTTATCAACATTACACTAGCATCATAAATCTGGTGCAAATATATTGCGTGCAAGTTCAAAAACTCGCAATTGCTATGATAAATTCCACTCATTGAATAAATTCCACTAACTGAAAGAGGCCATAACGATCGAAAACCTCTCCATGAAATGACTACATTAAAATGAAATCTTAGCCGTTGATAAGGATTCCCACACTTGCATATCTTCACCACTCTTTATGCTGCCTTGTCAATAGGCCTATATACTAAGAGGGGTAGCCAAACTCCGGCCCTCCAGCTGTGGTGAAACTACAAATCCCATGTTGCCTTGGCCTCTGTGAGGCATATCTGTGGCTGTCAGAATCTTGCAATGTCTCATGGGATTTGTAGTTGCACCACAGCTGGAGGGCCGGAGTTTGGCTGCCCATGTACTAAACTCACCAAACGTGAAACGTGTGATTCTGCCTCAAAGAACCTCATGTAGATTTTCAAGACGCATAATGCATTAGAAAGGCGCCATTGAAAATAATGAGATTTTGTCATGTTGAGCGTGGTTACACTTTTGGAAACAAGCAACATTCTCAGATGTGAATGGGGGCTGACAATGCAGGACTATGGCAACAGTCTAGAGTTGACCGTCAAACTGGTCATACGTGGCACTGTCCCATCTTTGTAGCCCTCAGATAGTATAGGGTGGTCTCACACTATTACATTAAGGTAACGCCCAGTAAAATGGGTGTTGCCGCACACAAACAGGCAGGTATGTATACATGTTGTGACAACCCAACGCACATACACAAAACAAATCTAAAAATACACAGGCACTATAGTGAACCACAAGGCACGGATGCGAGTACTCTGTGAGTTGTGGTGTCATGTGTTGTCAGAAATGGTACCAGTGCGTTTTTCTCAAGGGTTGATAGTCCAAGTACATGAGCACACTCTACCAGCACACAGAAGGGTGCAAATACACACCTAAGGTTTTAAAATAGATTGGGGTGGATTCCAGTTGAGGGCGGGTTTAGTTCCTTACATTACTAGGGGGGCGGTCACACTAGAAGTGGTGACTGACTGCATTCAGCAACTGATCAACGTCAATCTCCTCTAGAGCACATGAAAACAACAATCTATTCTACGTGTCCCGTTCACACCACAATATGTGTGTGATGTGCGGTGTGAAAAAAATGCAGACATGCTACAATGGATGGCACAGCAGTGGTGTGTGCGTGCATGCAGGCATGCATAAACCTAATATACACACACACACACACACAGTTATCTCAAATGTCCTTTAATAATAAGTCCATGTGCTAACTAACCCTTCATTCTTACAGCCAAGCAAAGAAGGAGATGCTGGTAATGGACTAATACATGGAAAGAACAAAAGCTGGATATAATGTGTATTGTGCTGTGAGGTATAGTCACATAAGAACAACCACATGACAATACAAGTAACACCCAAGCATTAAGGAAGATCTGTTGGCAGCAATAAATAAACACAACGTCTATTATTATTAGACCTCAAGGCGTCTCATTTACCTGAAGCACCTCAACATCAAGAGCAGTAAATGGAAATTGGAGATAAGCAAACTGATTGGCCATCTGAATCACAATATTTGTCCAGCCATTTAGATTTCACAAAGTGAGGGAACTGGAGAAGAGATGTCAAGTGTGCAAGAATGATGTTATCTACCCGAGCATGGATTTGTCTCTAGTAAAAGCTGCAAAGCTGTGGCTGGAGAATACATTTCTAAAGCAGATATGAAAGGTTTAAAATCATGTACAGTGTGTGAGCCGTGTCCTGTGCAATGTGTGCGTGAGCCGTGTCCTATGCAGTGTAACACCTGTTATGTACAGCACAGGAGCCATATCATGTACAGTGTAACACCTATATCCACTAAACTGATGTCACTGCACAATGTATTTTGTGTAATTCCCAGAGTCCAGCTTTAAAATCAGAACTTTATGGGTGGGAATACACATTTTTCAGGGGGACGATCCTGGACAGGGGGGGACACTCAGGGCAGGCCCTGGAAAGTGGGGGACACACTCGGGGCAGACCCTGGACAGTGGGGGGCACTCGGGGCAGACCCTG